GGTTTGTAAAAGAACTTTTTAGAGCAGATGGTGTGCTCGAGAATCAAGCTTCAAAAATATGTCAGAAATCAACAACCCCGTTTCCGACAGTCTACCTAGCAAGAAACGGAAAACGTGATCGAAGTTTTGATGTTGCAGCTAGGTAGAGAAAAATAATCATTTCTGATCAAAACAAAACAAACCCGATCGAAAAACGTTTTGTTTTGATGAAGTTATGGAACTTTTACTGAAAGCATCACCATATAGACCGGATTCACGGTCGATTTTTCTTTTTTGTGTAGCACATTTCTAAGCCTATAAGTTTCTCACTAGATGAGCTAACGGAGTCAATCAATCGCCATTTTGTAGAGCGTTTTTTACTACATCTTTTCTTCATAGAGACAAATTTACAACCACTTGTTTCACTATAGAAAAATTTATTATTCAAATCGAGTCAGGACTTCTGGCCCACCCTTTATATCGTTACCGCAAAGTTTTGTATGTTTTTTTTCCTCTAATACTCGTTCAACTAACAGACCTAGTAATTACTACAGATATACGTTTGACATTCTAGGAAACGGAGGGAGATTATCGCCAAGCGACTTATTCTGTAGCTAAAGTTGTTGTTGAAATAAAGCAGAAAAAAAGAACCAAATGTACGTATCATAGAAAGATATTGTTGCACTTTAACATCATTTACATTCTGAAAATCTTAGACTGATCCTAAAACAACATTCGGTATTATGGTTTTACAAGGTATACGAAATGTAGTACCAGTTGGAAAAGTATGTCATGTCATTTTATCCTCCTTGTGCAAAATTTTCAGGGTATTGTCTCTTTTTAGAAAAAGAATAGTCGTATTAAAAAGTGTAATGCTGCCAATTTAATGTTCGAAATTTAATAAAAGTTGATCCAAATTTTAATAGAAAAGAACTATTAAATAAATTTGTTCAAGATGTAGAGTATATATTATTTTTATTAGGTGATCAATATTCAAAATCAAATATCAAAAAAGAAATTACCGAACAATTACATTTTTTAAAAGGTGAATGTGGAAAAACTGTCGGTAGAACACGTATGAAAAAAGAACTTTGTTGGAAACATACAATATTATTAGTATTTAAATGTTGATGAGAAATATAACGATTGGTTAAATCCCAACTTTGAACATACATTTCAAGTTGACGATAACACGAGCCAGGATGACCAAGAAAATATAGAACATATAACTGACATACCTGTCACTGACCAATTAACGTTAGAGTTCGAAAAACATGTCAACTATATCGGTATTTCGATGCCTCGCAAATTAATTTCGCATATATTCAAAGATCATAACAATATGGATAGTGAACACTATCAAGAAGTGATTGATATTATTATCAATTATTTGGATGAAGAAAGCTTCAAAGATGATGTCGATCAAGCGGTATTAGAACGCTCTTTGAAATGGGCTCTTCGTACAGCGTATGCAACACAAATTAAAGTTCTTTTTGCGCGACAAGAAAATATGTTGAATAAAATTAATTTTACAATTCCACGTAAATCAGCAGCAAATATTCCACAAATAGTATCAGCAAGAAAATCTCAAATACTACAAAGATCAGTTCATTCAGCGACGGTAATAACCTTTTTGTCTCATCTCATACCACAGTGATCATTACAAGCGGATAGCTATTTATTGCTCAAGAAGTTTCTATCACTGATGGTTGAAGTAACGGTCTTAATAGCTTATTTAATGAACTCCAGAATCGAGCTTAGAATGCATATTTGTTATTATCATGCACCATGTTGTTGCACAATATACTTGTAGAATAGAAGAGACTTAGCTCTCTTTCTTAGAGAAAAGAAAGAAAGTTGAAGTAAACATATCGAAAATGCTTACAGTAATCGTATATGAACAATCTAAACGTAAGTTTTCATTTTCTTTTTATTATATAGGATTTATATCGAAATTTTGATACTTTAACCCCATTACCATCTACTTCCCCGATACGTACACATTCGTTGAATGAACTTGATGATCCATCTTCATTATTAGCTCCTGAAAGTACACTACTTTCTCATTCGTTGGCAAATACTGTGTCAATGAGAACTTTATCGACCGATGGTAAATATGATATAACAGAAGAAATTGATTTTCAACGTAAACAAAAGAAAATCGATAGAGAGCGCATATTATTAAAAAACAGATTTTATTCCGAATTTCTATCAGCCAAACTAGAGTTTTCCATTTCAAATAAAGCTTATCAAAAGCTGCATTTACTATGCAACCTGTACAATACACGACTACCACCATTGCGAACGATAACAGAACTTTTGTATATTTATGAAAATAAAATTCCAATCATAACTAATGAATATGGTGCTTATCTTCATGTTCGTCATGCCATTATCATGTTAACATACGGACACAAGGATATTCTTGATTCAATTAGAAAATCAGGAAAACGAATACTGAACTTTCGTTTGTGTGAAGATGGTACTTGGATCGGCAAGAAGTTAAATGTGATAGTATCTAGTCTTGGATGGGTCGACGCTGGACCAAAAGCTCAATCCGCGACGAGTCTAGTGCCATTGGCTATGGTAAAGATACCAAAAGAAGACCGATTAAATTTAGACAGATACATCACCCAAGATTTTATTCGGATGTTCGAGCGTGATCAAACAACGACATTGGATGGTTGTCAGTATCAACTGAAATTTATCTATAGCGCCGATTACAAGATGATTAATCAGGTTATGGGTCTCGCTGGTGTACAAAGTCCCTATCATTGTAATTGGTGCAAGTATATGAAAATGACTCTAGATAAGTAAGCTATACTTTATTACTTGATCAGATCTTTATTGCAAAAAAGTAATATGTCAGTACTGTATCATTAGTGCTTTTCATTGAATCTTCTAGTATGATTGTACTATTATTAGTTATTCTAAACCTTCTGGTTATGAATTTCCTGCTACTGTTGCTACAATTGTCAGCACAGCACAAGCTAGTACAATTATCACTGTATCAGATGATGGCGAAGAAGATCTGTCGGTAAGACGAACAGATTCAAAACGTCAAAAATAAATAAAAAAGCCTCTACCATCAAAACAGGTATCTGATGTAAGACGCGGTAGAAAAAATACAAACACAATAAAAACTAAATTACCCCCGATCGATCGTGAAACAATGTTTAGCAGATGGTCAGCATATGATCCAGCGAAAGGAGCTCGAACATTGGATGAGCACTATGAACAAGTTAACACAGCACATCCAAAATACGGTTATGAGCAAAAACCTTTATATCGTAGAAATTTCAAGTAAGTGTCTTAAACTTGTTCAATGAACTATTATTCTGTATAAAACTAAAATGGTTTAGTTACGGCGAAATTGTGGTAGATATATTACATATGAAATTGCGTATATGTGATCAACTGTTAAAACATTCGATTAAAGTGGCCTGCGATGTAACAACTCCAGGTGCAACACAAAACGATGCATTGCAACAAATACAAAATGGCATCGGATTTGCTTGTTGATGTGTTTTCTAATAGTCTAAAACAGCTTCCCCTCCAGCTTCATCAATAGTTGTGGTTGAGTTCATGTTTTCGAGCGAAAAAAAATTTCGGGATTTAACGGGATTGTAATTATGCCTACGGGGCGGGATCGAGATCGAGACGAAAAACTCAAGCCCGCAGGGCTCTAGCCTGGACTTTCAAACATTATTGTATAGCTCTTTTTTCGTATCCGACTCTTTATTCGTTGTTACACGGTATCGATTGTGTTTCTCTGTCCCTCAATAATACTGGGGCATGCTTCTCGGCAGTAGGTGAAAAAATTCAAATGTTAGACTAAAAATAGCTTGTAACAATATGAGGTGCTTGAACGGATCAAAGACCTGAACTGGTTCCCAAACGCGCTTTAACGCGTCTATTGGATCGGATTGTAACAGCCGCGCCTTAACGCGTCTTAATATAGCGCATCTGAACGCGTCAAAGATAAAAAATAGTTCCCAAGCGCGTTTTTATGCGTTTGTACGCGCCTTGACGCGTTGTAATATGTCACGTTTAAACGCATCTGAAGAAACGACCTGTAAAGTCGCGGTTAGACGCGCTTTTGCATAAACGTTTGAACTATCGCGGTTAAACGCGTCATATTGTAGCGCGTCTAGTCGCGTTGGAGCTGCTGTACTTAAAACGCGTTGTTTGCGCCAAAATTTTCCCGACGCGTCTTGACGTACTTAGTAATTAGAGCTATTCTCAAGAGCTCACGCAAGAAACTGTACTTTTTTCGTATTAATTTTGAGAAAAAGACTAGCTCTTTGTTAATTTTAGGCATGGCAGCAGCCATTTTGAATTTCTATTGGTTAGCGCACAGAACCAGCTAAATCCTATCTCGTTTGTATGATACTACTTTTGAGTGTTGAAATAGTCAATTGATCACTACAAATTATTTCTTTTAATGTTAGATAAATGTGACAGAATGAACAAAGAGCAAAAAGTCCAATATCTGTGTTTAGGCGCGAAAACACTTTGGCAGTGGCGCCAGAATAATAGCGCCTAAAAACAGAAATAAAATTAAAAAAAATTCTGAATTTCCCGTTTTCAGATTTTATGGTAAGTTAATACAAAATTAATTCTAAGATTTTATATATATAAATGACTCTGTATCTCTGAGCCTGACAAAAGTTCATACTTTTCATATGCGAATGAATGTATAACTTACTGACGTAGTTAAAAAGTACCACAGATATCTCGCACGTGCTCGATTTGAAGTACACCGAACAACAACTTGGAACTTTTTGCTAGCTTCGATTCAGGCCTCGACCTGTTTGATTATAGTTTACGGTGGTTGTAACAGTCAATTCCCTAAGAACATGTCAGATTATAAACTTTGTTAACCAGAGAGATGGACTTGTTCTGCAAACAAGCTAAATACTTTTGGCTATTTTAGATTGGCATACGTTTCAAATTAGAAGAAAATCATATCAAAGTATCCAGTTCCGTGAATGGCAGTCAACACGAAAAATTTACAAAAAATCTGCCATTAGATGTCATTGCTCAAGATAAAAATAAAGCTCAAAAGTAGGGCTACTTAGTCAGCGACTTCTTTGACATTTTACAACTAACCAAACGAACAAATAGACGAAAATTTTATAATGAGACATCATGATACCATCCGACACACTGCCATTCGGCAAGTTAGTCATTGTTAATCATGAGTACTGAATCTTTTTCAATTAAGAATAAACACATTATCCAGTTCGTGTACGTGTTTTGTAACAGTCGAACAGAACGAGAGCTACTTAGTGTAGATAATACTCTACTCTAGAAGAATATACATTAAAAACACTTCGGTGATATAAGCTACAATGCGTCAAGAAGTAAGGCATATGTGGAGAAATGGGTATGATCGTTTTTTCATATATTCGACATTATAGGATCTATGATATTTTGATATATAGTGTAAGATCTTCTAATAATGTAATAGGCAATATTTGGTCTAATTGAACTCATCGATGCAGCTTTTTACAGGCTTCAATTTGGTATAAAATACTTAGTGGAATCCTTTGACCTTAAGACCGAACCAGGGGAGCGTAAAGGGTTTTGCAACAACCTGTACATACATTCTCAACTATTAACATCGAATAAAATTCAAAAAATATTTCAGATTATCACAATACAAAGCTATAGACGTAGCTAAGTGATCGATCGTTTGGCACTTCTCCGTACCATACTCCACTAAACGGACCAATATATGTAGAAATTTTTTTAGTACTTTGAAGCGCACGTCACTATATCTGGGCGCAGCACAGGTCCACCCAGTATTACATGAGCTAAAAGCCGAGATGGTTTAACTATATGCAATCGATAGACAGACTGAAGGTATGTAAAGACTCCTGTCGGCCCACGGAAAAATCATTTAATCGTTCTATATTTCCTACATTTATGAAAGTGGTCCTGTATTGTCCTATGTTTCGTATATTTGGGGGAAAAGTGGGGTTATGCTGAAATTAGTTGTATTCGATCGTGAGAATTCCCGCTCTAGATTAAAAGTCCAGCGTTTATTCAGTCTTTTTTGATGCTGTGTGAATTTTTCGGCTATGAAAAACTGGTGCACTCACTTGTTCTTTTAATATAAACGTGAGAAAACGAAGTTTTGCTATTAAAACTGATTCATATAGAGAAGAGACCATAATGAACACATTGGTGCAAACCGCGATCCTCTGTGGCATCTACATAAAAAATAGCACGCGAAACCAAAGAAATCAACGTGCTGCACGGTCAATTTGTCGAAACACTACTTACGTCGCTCAAAAGATCATTATGCTTGACATTCAACCATCTTTCGTCAGACAGTTGTCCGGGTGGCAGTAAATTTTTGATTTTCTTGTTGTAATTCTCAAGAACAAAATTAAGACCTTCGTACTCTTGAGTATTTTCACTTGTACTGTAAGCATCATTCTGGGGATAAAACTGTCGTCGTTCATCTGGCATTATTTGACGCAGAACGTGATCATTTATCATCACAAATTGATATTCTGGATGTTTGCTTAAAAATATGCAGAATAATTTTCTCGTTTCATCTAACAATCAATTATTTTTTCGAGTAGTAGACCGAAATGTAAATGTCGCACATAACCGCAATGTTACTTGACTATATAATTCAACATTCACATTGGTTAGACGAACTAATGGACAAACTTTCAAAACAAATTTTGAGAATTATAGTGGGCGAGTCAAATGAGATCATTTCTTATTTTATTCACGATATTCCAACCTTATCCAGTCATTCTCAAGTAAACAATAAACTGCGAAAGATGTAACAATCTTTATCTCTTTATAATATACACTGGAAAAAAAAAGGGTTTCGAAAAGTGAAACCATTTCGAAATGGTTTCACTTTTCGAAACCCTTAATAAGATTTATTAAGGATCTAAAAAACACTTTATCAAGGTTTCATAGATTCTTACGAAACCATTACAGGAAATTAGAAATGGTTTTAGGTTCGGTATCGTGCACGAAACTTCCAGCGTCTACGAAACCACCACCAGCGAGATCTCCTGCATACTGCACGGAGATTTCCATCCTCTGTCACTCGACTTCGTTTCATATTGACTGTGGCACCCTCTATCATTCTAGTTAATCGCCTAAGGCCTAAAACTTACCTTTGACCTGGTAACAGGCAAACACTCTACATTATAATATATATATATATGGATATTTTTTCGCATGATGCAGGATTAATAATGTATCCTTCACCGATCGATCGTCACTGATTCCTAACACACCGACGGTGCTTAGCCTGATTAACATCAATTAAAAAACCGACCTTGGTTGGGTTCCCACAGCATAGCCCTGATTAGAATAGAATGTCCCGTCTCCATTGCCTAGGAACACTCTGACCATGTTGCCCACAAAGGTCGGTGTAATCAGATCGATTTGCTCATCCTGATTAACATCCATTCCAAAAACCGACTATGGCTGAGATCCGGCAGGATAGTCCTGCTTAGCCTGGAATTTCCCGTTTCCATTGCCTAATAACACACGGACGCTGCTGCCAGCCGCATTCGCCGTAATCAGATCGATTTTCGAATCGTGATTAATATGAATAGAAAAAAACGACCATCGTTGAGTTTCGACAGCATAGTCCAGCTTAGGCCGGAATGTCCCGTTTCCATTGCCTAGTAATACACTAATGGTATTATTATCGCTATCGGCATCATAATTCGGTGTAATTAGATCAATTGTCGAATCCTGATTAACATCAATTGAAAAAACCGACTGTGAGGCGATTCCTGTGGCGTATTCGACATGGGAGGGAAATGACACATTGAACCTTGACAAACTGCATCATCACTGCTCCACTACTAACTAAACAAAGTGACGAAAATTACTCTAGGAAACGGTTTGTAAATCGTTTTCTTTCTAATCTACGAACAACGGCAGTCTCGTTTTATGGAAAAAGGCAAAACGTTTTACTGTTTGTTCTCTGGTCCTATTCAATATCTGTTTTCTTTCCTTAAGGCGTTTTTCCTTCAGAATCGAGACTGAAGTTGCTCAAATGCTTCTGCCGTATTCGATTAATCACATTGCCATTGGACTTCAAACTAGTATATGTGATTCGAAGTCCGTCTATAAACTGACAAAAGGGTCCAGTGATGACACAAAACACTCAACTGCCTTCCCAGAGATGAAAGTATTATAAAAGTTCTACGTTTCGGCAAATGTTTAATGGGAGTCAGCAAATTCACATTAGTAATAGATAGTGTTACCACAAAAATAGACCGTAAAATGATGAGTCATCGAGTTAACAGAAGCTACTACAGTACAAGTTCTTTATTTAGGTCATCTATAAGTGGCCACAACATCTTCTCAAACTTGATATGTTAATTGTTTATAAATCCAATATGCTACACATTCAGCTGAAATTTTCTGTCGTCTTTATCTTTCGTTTTCAAGCCTCGAATGTCCCATTTCCATTGCCTAGTAACACACTGACGCTGTTGCCACCCGCATTCGCCGTAATCAGATCGATTTGCGCCTCCTGATTAACATCAATTAAAAAAACCGACCATGGTTGGGTTCCCACAGCATAGTCCTGCTTAGCCTGGAATGTCCCGTTTCCATTGCCTAGTAACACACTAACGCTGTCGCCACCCGCATTCGCCGTAATCAGATCGATTTGCTCATCCTGATTAACATCAATTAAGAAAACCGACCATGGTTCAGTTCCTGCAGCATAGTCCTGCTTCGCCTGAAATGTCGCGTCTCCATTGCCTAGTAACACACTAACGCTATCGCCACCGGTATTCGTCGTAATCAGATCGATTTGCTCATCCTGATTAACATCCATTCCAAAAACCGATCTTGGTTGGGTTCCTACAGCATAGTCCTGATTAGAATAGAATGTCCCGTCTCCATTGCCTAGGAACATTTTGACTGTATTGCCCCCAAAATTCGGCGTAATAAGATCGATTTTCGAATCCCCATTAATATCAATGCAAAATACCGAATACGGTTGAGCTAATGCAGGAAACACCGACGCAGACGGGAATGACCCGTTTCCCTTGCCCCGTAACACACTGATGCTGTTGCCAGCCCCATTCGCCGTAATCAGATCGATTTTCGAATCCTGATTAACATCCATTCCAAAAACCGACCATGCTTGAGATCCGACAGTATAGTCCTGCGTAGCCTGGAATGTCCCGTTTCCATTGCCTAGTAATACACTAACGCTCCTGCCATTCACATTCGCCGTAATCAGATCGATTTTCGAATCGTGATTAACATCAATGGAAAAAACGGAATACGGTTGAGGTCCGACAGCATAGTCCTGCTTAGCCTGAAATGTCCCGTATCCATTGCCTAGTAATACACTAACGGTATTATTGACGCTACCGGCATCATAATTCGGTGTAATTAGATCAATTGTCGAATCCTGATTAACATCAATTGAAAAAACCGACTGTGAGGCGATTCCTGTGGCATAGTCGACATTGGATGGAAATGACACATTGAACCGTGTATCTAAACGACAAACTGCATCAGCACTACTCTACTACTAACTAAATAAAGTGACGAAAATTACTCTAGGGTACGGTTTATAGATAGTTTTCTTTCTAATCTACGAACAACGGCAGTCTGGTTCTACGGAAAAAGCGGTAAAGTTTTACTGTTTGTTCTCTGGTCCTACTCAGTATTTTTCCTTAAGTGGTTTTTCCTTCAGAATCGAGACTGAAGTTGCTCAAATGCTTGTGGCGTATTTATTTATGAAATGTTTATTGGATAAGAGTGGATTCAAGACGCATAGATTAACGTTAAAACGGAGTTTAGCTCATCCCCAAAAAGCCAGATAGGTTTACAATGCCTCATCCTTATTTCCCATTCGTGGCGTCTCTCCTCGAAGTAGACCTAATACTATTTTTCAATTCACTTTTCAATGCTGAAGAATTAAAAAATTATGTGATCTTCCGGCCAAAAATAAGATCCGAAAAAGCTTACCCTTTTGAACATCATGCTTTTACCGAGTTTTGAGGTTGTTCGAGTTTTGTCGATTTTTCGACATGAGAAAAATGTTTTGAAATATTAAAAACTATTCACTTGTGATCAGCACGAAAAGCTCTACCCAATAGTGTATAGTAGATTCGAAACAAAATTTTACTGTCAGTTTGCATTACGCGCCCGTTGCGCATTAATAAATCAACAGTACCCTTAGTTTTAGGGAGTCTTCTCTTAATAAAAGAATTTACAAAGTGTTCCTACGTGTTATAGTTAAAATGCATTCAGTGCCAAGATCGCCTGATGAATTTTTTCATGAATGTACTGAATGTGAAACAAGAAACAAGCGTTGGCTTGTTTGCATCATTTTCTACGAGTTTCTAGAAGATATAGTTCCGAAATTCTACTCACAAAAGCAAACACAACGACGATATAAGTACGAAATAGAATTGTTATTAAAGGTTGTCTGCCTTTTCATAGTTTCGTAAAGATATTACTTTAAATTTTGCTACAATAATATATGTTATTTTGAGAAATTGGGTTTAATATGAAATATATTTTATTCAACGAATATGTTGAACATAAACTTCTTACTTGACGTTGTTGTGTCTGATGTTGTTGAACTCGCTATAAGAATTAAATATTGATTGATAGAAAAATTACTTTAAAAATCTTACTTGAACAGGTTGAACCGGTTGCATCTGAAGTGAAGCTTGCTAAAACAGAATTTTAGTTTGAGTAGACGTCAAAATTACAGTTGAAAAGTTTGGATAAAATAAAATAAAAGTCAGGTCACTTCTCCTATTTATCCTCTTCGAAAAAACTGAGTTTGTAAATAAATGTTTAAACAAATAAGTAAGAACTGTTTCTTCTGAATGTTTCTTACCTAAGGATGTGGCACTGGTAGATGTTGAAAAACTTGTTGAAGCTGCTAAAAAATAAAAATGTTTGACAGTTTAGTTAAAACTTTTGCAGCAAAGTTATAGACGTTTGAAGGAAATAAAAAGCTAAAATTCCTGCTGAATTGTTTTACTAATATACTGGATGTGAAACATGAAAGAAGTGCAGCCTCTTTACTAGCAGATATGGACCTCACATTCTAATCACAAAAAGAGAAAACAACTGCGGCTTAAGTACAAACAGCGATTTTGATTTGTAAAACTGTGTTCTGTGTCAGAACTACAGGCAGGAACATGTTATTCTATAACCGCCATGAACTGTAATCATTAGAAAACCGCATCTTTTATAGTAGAAAACGCCTATTTTTGTTCAGATCGCTAATGATGGCATTCTTCCCGAAACTGCTATGGACAGGAGTGACAATGAGGTGACAATGAGGTTTTGAATACACAAATCGGATTTCTTTTTACGATTGCAGTATATCGCGTGTCTTTCTACAGGTCGATTATTCGCAACTACAGAAAAATCGCGATTAGAAGGCGGTTCCCACCTTCTACTCGTGATTTGTGTACAACCACGGTCCACCAACGGATACAGTCGATCACAGTTCAATATAAAAAAAGGTAATTATTGCTAAGAAAGTCAGGATTATTAATTCGAATCGCGAGCAACTGCGTGCGTTGTTTAACCGAGATTTCCTAATAAAACGTAAATTTGGATAAAAAACTGCGATTTAGAAGCTTTTTCAGGGGGAAATCGCGTTTAAACGCGTTTTTGCAATAGGAAAAATACTCATGAGTACATGCCAAAAATTGGTGCAGAATTCGTTATACTGGTTAGTGAAATATAAAGGGGAAAAATAATTGCTTTATGTTCAGCACTGTAAACAAAGCTAGTCATAGTACATGGAAGGGAGTTTGAAAAGTTGTTTGTTCTTTTAATTGCAGTCTAATGATGCGTATCGATCTGCTCGTTTAGCAGGAAAATCCCTTTGCACTTGTTAACGGCTACAGAGCCGTCAACTATCTATTTCTTTACTTTTCGTTTGTTATTATTTCTTTTGTTTTTATTTTTGTCGTTGACTATACAAGTACAGTTAGTCCTCTTTTCGTCCTCGTCACTCAGTGACCATATATCTATATAGATAATCTC